ATTTACACCTTCGCACTTGAATACTGACTTCTCAGTTTCTATGCACTGACCTTTAACAATTCTGTCCTTCCCTTAAACAAAACCAATAACCGGAACTATGAGTTTACTCTGAATTCTATATTGTCATGAATCAAGTTCTCCTCAAAGACAATTATAAAATCTGTCTTCCAGAGTTTTTCTAGAGTGTTCAGAAAACACCAAGTCTAGGCAAGAGAAGAAAGAAAAGCAGGGCAAGAAAAAACTCATCAATGCCAGCTACAAAAAGGGAGTTGACTGGGAGAACATGATATACCGCAGACCAGGAAGGAGATATAATGGGGCAGGCTCTTCTCGCTCCAGGCCGGTCGTTACTGTTTGTGTGAATCTGTGCTAATTCACCTCCCAGTTTCTTTTCAGGGAGAGCATTTGAGACAAGAAAAAAAGAGAGGGAGGGTAGTTGTCATGGCCACCAGACTTGGACTAAATTGAAACAAGGAGGCTGTCTGAACATGAAGGCGGGGTGGGGGTGAGGGGGTGGGGGTTATGCTATGATCTGCATGTCTCCTTCCAGAATTCATTGACATCTAAACCCCATTTGTGAGATGCTGAGGTGTGGTACCAATTGAGATCTTTACATGATGATAATGACTAATTAAATCGTGCATCAATAGCTTATCTTGGAAGTTTGTTTCTATCCCCTGCGACCATGTGACGGTCTGTACACCTCAAGCCTCTGCAGTGTCTTGCCAGACACAAGGTCCTCCTTTACAAATGCAGGCTCTCAAGCGTGGGCCTTGTAGCCTCCAAAACTGTGAACTGAGTAGATGTTTATTACCCATAAATTATCCAGTCTGTAGTTTCGTGTGCTATCAACAGAACAAAAATAAACCAGGCCACCCCTTAGAAGTAGTGTTAGAAGTGGTAGATGATATGGGAAAGAAGATTCTGGAGAGGGTCTCAATGATACCCATCTGCAGCAGTGTTTCAGCAGTCAGGGAAGGGAGCACCTAAGCTGTAAATAAGAGAATCTGGGAGATATGCACAGTACACCTATAATATGCATGAGGAAGGCAAATGGCCTTTGTTAGACCACTCACTAATTATGATATTCTCCAAAATGACTAATCATGATATCAAAATGTATCATCTTAAACATTAATGGAACAGTTATAAGGTGAGCCTAAAATCTGGTAATGGATGTTGTCGATTTAAACATATAATGAAGTGAGTAAGTATAAATTGTATTCTAGTACTGAGACTCATTTATTCAGCAATTATTCCCCTGTAAGTTTATCTGTACAAACATATTTTCCTAATTACACCCATGCTTATGTAACACACCTTCCTATGGAGACGGAAGGCCTCATACAAGACAATATGCAATTCTGCCGGATAGTCTCTTCTTGCATTCATAACCTCTGTGCTTCTGAGGTTTCAACTTTGTAGTTAAGAGAATCTCCATTCCAATTAAGAAAAGGTACTTACTATAATCTATCTATTAATGATTTACTTAATCCAACCTCCCCTGTGCACGTCCTACTTCACAGTAGAATCCTTTTGTGTGTCTTCTGCAGCCTTCTGCTCTCTCCGATTAGTGTTCTCCTGTGTCTGAGCATATTTTGTTAAAAAGAAATATGAATGCTTGATATAATAAGACCTTATTTGTCATTTAGAAAAAAAAACCTTCAAGTCTCAGTACTGACAATTTTTCTAATTAAAGAAATAGAAATTTTATAGTTTTCAACTGCTCCTGTACCTTTATACTTTATGCTGCACATGACTAACTATAAGGATTTGAAAGAGACATGGAAACCTAAAATGCTTCAATAATTGCCAAGCATAAATAATCTAAATCAAATAGAATACCTTTTAAATTTTTGTTAATCAGCATAAAAATGGTAATAAACCACTTGATTTCAGTATTGTGGGAATTTTCTTGAGTAAAACTAGATAATGTCTTAAAAAATATATGTAATGACTAAATCACAAGACTAGTTAGTCTATAGACCAAGGATTTATATGGGTTAAAAGTATCAACTTTAGCTACATATTATAAAAACTACAAAAAGTATCACAGAGTAAAAAATATGAAAATATAGTAAATAGCTATTAGGCTGGAATGTGTTCTCCTTAGATAGTAATGTTATTTCTACAATGCTACTTAATATTTTCCAATCAGCTATCTACTCCAGTTCTCAAATTAGGTATAAATTCAATGGTCAGTGAAATTTCATGAATGTAATCATTGCCAAAAAGATGAATACAAAAAAAACCACCCAGTTTTTCTAACTAATAATATCTACAAAGATATTCAAGTTATTTACCAATTGGTAGAGAAGTTCCAGAAAAGAAAAAGAAAAAAAGGTGGTAGAAAGCATGAATGCACAGGAAACAACAGGGGAGAAGAAAGGAAGGAGGGAAAGAGGAAAGAGGGAGGGAGGGAGGGAGGACCAGCAGGCAGGCTTCCCAGGACTCGTCCCATGTAGCACCTGTATCAACTGACCAGAGGGCAATAGGAATGATAAACCATAAACTCAGAAGAGGAAGTGTTCTCAGTAGTCATTTGACAGCACTTTGGTATGTATCAAAACCCTCCAAGGAGTCAGGGTTGCTTCTCATACTCTTCGATTTGTATACAGCATGAAATTCATCCATTCTAACTTTTAGAGACAAATGTGTCTTCTTCAATTTCAAATTCCGAAGGAGCTTAAATATCATTTTACTATTTGTGGTTTGACAGCCTTTCCTTCTCTGCAATCAAAACTGGAGAGTGCAATGCCAGCAGTATTTTATGTGTTCTTATCACAAAAAGAGAAGGGAAAAAAAGAAGGTGGTGGACGAAGTGACTGACATGTTCATTGGCTTGATTTGGGTAGTATTTCTCGAGGCACATGTTCGTGGAAACATCAAATGATCTTGAACATATGCTACTGGTGTCTATAAATCATATATTTTATAAAAATTACATAAAAATGAAAAAATAACCTACATATTACTGTAAATACTCTGCAAAGATACTATTGAGACCAAAGGAAATTTATATTTTAAAACAAGTATATTCTAGTTAAAAAATGTACATCATTTAATATATACATAGTAAATGCTTTCCTACTTTCTTAATCAATTCTACACTTAGAATTTCATAGGATTCTGATATAAAAAGATCAAATTCTTCTAAATCCAGTGATAGAATCCATTTCAATTATTCTGATGGGAAAATTTGTAACAGAAAAAAAGTTCAGTGTTCAGAAGTTACTCTCTAGTTTGATTTGGTTTTGGTAAGCAGGATTTGACCCACATTACACCCACATAGCTACAGAGAGTCATATCATATCAAAGTCCTGTGGAGGGTGTGTGTGAGAGTGCGGGGGGGGGTGGGGGGGGGGGAGGATAGGGAGGAGGGAGAGAGGAGAAGTGAGAAGAGTAGACAAAGGAAAAGAGAAGTCAGTTTGGATACATCAAGAAGATCAAACACTAAAGTTGAAGCGCTGTGGTTCACTCTGCTTTGTGCCTCCATTCTAAAGCAACATCATGTTTCACCTCGCTGAGAGGTGATTAAAAGCAGATAGTGGATGAATAAACCATCCAGTGGGAACCTCCCTGAAGGAACTTACAGTGAGGTCATTGGACATTTACCTTCACCAGGATGAATTCCATAATAGTTACATCTTAACAATTAGACTTCCTTTGATAAATAAATTTTTATTTCTAGTGGTATTCAGTTATATTACCCTGAAATAAACAGGGTAGGTTCCCCCCCCCAAGTTCTCCATCCTTTCTATTTGGGAGCTCCAAAAACTGAGTGTCAATTCGAAAGTAGTAGACTGAGGATGAGGAGGTAGCACATTGGATAATGTGCTTGCCTTGGAAGCCATAGACCTGAGTTCAATCTCCAGCACACACATAAAAAGCCAGGCATGATGCAATGCATTTGTAAATTGGGTACTGGGGAGGTAAAGAAAAAAAAGATTACTAGGACTCCTGGGCCAGGCAATATAGCCTAAGCAGTGAGCTTGGGCCCCTGGGAGAAACAAAGACACAAAAAATCATGTTGAAAGCTCATAAAGAATGATGGGTTTCCCCTAGTCTACACACACACACACACACACACACACACACACACACACACACTTTGGCACATATGAGGTAGGTCTATTAGATGCTTTGTATTTCTCATCATTATGGGTCAGAATTTTTTAGGAGTTAAACATACTTACATTGAGATCACATATAAAGATTTGAACCTCACAAAAATGTCTTCAAACACAAATTTGATCATTTCCTTTTCATTTTCTATGGCTGTTGAAACCTTTAACTATTAAGTTGGGTCTTTCTCATTTTGTTTCTGGGTTCTTACCAGCAGCATGTTAGCAGCATTAAGCTATGTAACGTCACTGCCTAGCATAGACTCAGCTAGAAGGTACTCCAGAAATTATTGTCAAATAAATTTCTATAAAAGGATTTAAATTTATGACAAATGAATGCAACATTAAGTGTAACTAGTGTAATTCTATCTCTATATCTAACCATATTTATTCTTTAAGTATGAAAGTTTTAAAGGCATTTATCAGGATTAAAGTTGAGGCATTTTACAAACTAATCAATAGATTTAAATAGCATATGGAAAGAAAAGGATGCCCTTAAGATATGAGCTTATCTAAATGATAGTGCATGAAGACGAATAAATGTTTTCATAACATTTGAAATAAAACAACTGTTAATTTAAAACTTTGTAGATAAAGATATTGTCTAATCTTAATATTTTAAATTCAAAGAGAGATGCATAATCTGAGGATTGTAATCAAGCTAAGTATTTGGGGAACTATATTTAAAAACTTTAAGTAACAAAATAGAATCTAGATTACTGTTCAGTGAAATAATTTCAAGATTCACGTCAAGACTGACTATATATAACAGGATTTTAGAAATTAATGTAAATTTTCCTGAATTCTAGATAATAAGACAGCTTTAAGTGCATTTATGTTGTAACATTTTAGGAATGAACTCTTAGAGAGTCCTACCTGTATAAGAGTTGTTCTGTGGAACTTCAGTGCCCCCTTCTGGTGCATTTTAGCAAAGCATCCTGAGCAATAGTCTTCCCCACATTCCAGGCATACCTTTAAAGATACAACACAAAGACAGCGTGACTTTCAGAAAAGATTTCCAAAAAGATGCTAATGTCCTTGTATTTATGCCTCCAACTACACAGATGTCATTGGAATGTGCTGAAATGCTAAAGTGTAACACCAAAAACCTATTTACTCTCAGAACAAGTAAGCGCAATAGCCATGGTAGTGTTGGCTATACATATTATATGCATGTATACATGCACTATTATGTGATAACCATAAAACAACTAACAGCATCTGGTCAAGCTCCTTGACCTGGTGGAAATAAAACAACATTATAAATTAAAACTCTCATTTTATAACATGTTTTATCTTTATGCACATCAACCTAGTTGGTAACAAAATATAATGTCCCTTCCAAAACTTTCCAGATACTTCCACGAATGTATTCTTTTTTCGGTCATCCGTAAAATATAGTTTTGAAAATCTTGTCAGAACTGTGTACAAAGGAAAGAAAAAAACAAGATGTGGTATTTCTGACTACTAAGATGGTCCCAGGCCAGTTTATCCTCTTGCTTCCCAGTAGTACAACAATGTAATGATTGAACTGTGGAAAGTTTGGGTCTGTAATGTGCCTGTAACCATGGTGTTGTTAGGGACCATTGCGAGTAAAGAGAAGAGGAAACAAAACTTTACTATGATTGCAGTTGCTATTATGCAGCTGTAACATTGATTGCTTCAACACCTTCACAGTGTGCTATGCTGCAGTATAAAGAAATAAGAGCCTTCATTTGTTTCAGTTCGGCCCAGGCTGAGAACAGTGCCTGGAAACATGCAGGAGAAAGTATATGGAAGAACGGAGAGTGTGTCAGAAAGTCTATGTCAAGAAATAACACTAATTTCAATGGTCAGTGATTGACTGAGTGAACATAGGTGTTTATCATTGGTTGAAATCTTGAGCTTTGGATGTTATTGTGGCATCACCATTAACCTGTACATCCAGGCGGATCCCCAAGTGAGACAAAGAAATCCCCTTTCTTTACAAACTAATAAAATCTTTAATAAATCGAATATTTCAGATGACTGAATGGTCTATTGTTAATTCAATATATTTTCAAAAGTGATTAAAAACATACAGCTGGAATTTTTATTTAAGCAAAATTAAGAAACACCTCTATGAAGTCTTTCTAAGAAGTCATAACAAAAAGCCCCTAATTTTACAATTTTAAGTGCCAAATAAATGTTAAATATATAATTTCACATAGCTATATGATAGTATTATTATACTAATGACTATTTCAAAATACATTCTGCCCAATTTTCTTGCACATACCTGCTAATATTTCTCTGAATCTTTCATAAACCTTTGGCAGTTTCTACCACATAATATGAACCAGGGAACTGAAAATCAGGTTCAGCATATAATTCTAAGCCAAGTATTTATTAACAGTTGTTTAATGAAAGCAGCCCAACAGATATTTGTAGACTGGAAGATCAAAGCTAAAGTTGCCAAGTAAGCTCACATATTTTGTTATACAAGGATATTTGGATTTAAATTGGGTTAAAATGACTGCCAACTGGAAAATCTTTTTAGGCAGTTTGTGCAACTGGCAGCAACATACTAAACCATAGATAAGGATTCCATTTTGCTGCATAGTTTCCTCAATGATAAAGCACCAGGGTGCAATTTTTAAAACTATCTGCTTGATTCGGCAAATTCCAGATCAGCTGTATTCACTTTCAGAACTCATCTAAATCTAATTAAATCATCCACATATGTCAAATTAATAGGTAAGTTTCCTCTCTACTTCTAGCATCGAGAAACAGCCTAAAGCCACTGAAATATCACTTGAAATTAAATGTTTGGAAGTGTTGTTTTTATCAAAGTTTTAAATACATAAAGTCATAAGGTGGCAAGCTAATGACAAAACCATGTTAGATATTGTCCCCTTTGAGTGTGTCAGACGCAGTGGCGAGCACTTCATCAAATTATAACCATCCACAGCTTTGTGGCATAGGCCACAGTTGGGAAATCAGCTGCAGAAGGACTCAGTAATTTACTAAAGGTCATGTACTTCATAGGGAAAGCTGACACGCAGAAGTCCACATTATAAACCACTTATCCCTATCTTGATACAACATGTAGGATATGAAACATATGGAGAATGGTGTCAGAGGTGTCCATTATTTCAAAATTATGACAGGACATTGTATTTACTGTAGAGATATTGTTGCAAGTATGTGTATGTGGCTAGTCATGATGGAAAGAGAGAGGATAACACTGTAAATGATACCATTAAGCAAGAGTGAGGGGATGATGTACAGTGACTATGTAGAGATGTTAAACTTGTCTGCAAGCACAGAGAGTAACAGTAATGAAAAGGAGCAGCATATGTTGTGGAATATATAACTGGGTATTTATTTATGCCGAGGAATATTACTTTAGCTGTGTAAAGGCGTGTTACATTTGTTTATCCTGCATTTGTTTAATGATGTAAGGAAACGTTACAGTTGGTTATGCTGCATCTGTTTAATTATGTAAGGATGTGTTGCATTTGTTTCACCTTGCCTGTATAAGGCACCTGATTGGCCTAAAAAAGCTGAATGGCCAATAGCTAGGCAGGAGAGGGATAGGCAGGCAGGGCTGGCGGGTTGACAGAATAAGTAGGAGGAGAAGTCTAGGCTTGAGAAGAAGGAGAAAGAGAATGAGGGAAAAAGAGAAGGACATGTCCTGGCTGGAATCCAGGCAGCTGCCAGCCAATCAGACACAAGAAGCAGTGAAAGTAAGATACATAAGGAAAGAAAGATAAAAAGCCCCAAGTCAAAATGTTGATGAAGAGAAACAGGTTAAGTTATAAGAGCTAGCAAGAAACGAGCATAAGATAAGACTGAGCATTCATAACTAATATTTAATCTCCTTGTGGTGATTTGGGAGCTGGTTGGTGGCCCAAAAGAAAAAGCCTGTTGTAAGCCTAGGGCTGTGTAAGCAGACTTGGTGGGGAGAGGTGTCGAAGGGACCGTGACAGGTCTATCTTGGTTGCATGTAGTGTACTTACAAGGAGAGCAGCTTTGTTCTCACACTGTCCACAAACTTTTCTTTTAGTCTTGGGCTTTTCACTTCCAAAAGAATGTGCCATTTTGTAATTAACTAGTTGTTTCGCTGGTGCTAGAAGAAAAAAAAATCAAGATAATCAGTTTAAAGTATGTTTTTTTGTTTGTTTTATTTGTTTGTTGATTAACAATGTAGCAAAACTATGAGCATTTATTTCCAAATGCTCACACAGCACTGAAGAATTAGTTGCATAATAACTGGATGCAGGTAAGTCTGATCTGTCAATTCATTGTAGAGCCTGTAGCAAGCCCTGCTAGCCCTCATGAGTAAGGGCAACATGCATCCACTTCTACCTGTTTTGCTTAGACCCCTTTGACCTGAGGATTCATCTCTACACAATACTGACATCTATGCTTAATATATGTGAAGATCCTATATGAATATATATGATATATGAAGAGCCTTATCTGTAAGATATAGTACAGAAAGCAGCTTACCTTGAATCTGTTCTTTTAGTAACTTTAATTTCACATTTCCAACAGGGAGCTGCAGTAATGAAATAGATGTTATTTTCTAGGTACATATTGTCTTATCCAAAGAAAGTGTAATTATTAACAAAATGTTAGATAGCTATACCATTTGGGTACATGTTGCATAAAAACATATTATTTGAGAATATAAAACTAAAAGATAATTAAATATATATATAAACTTTTAATTTCATTAAAAAGAAAAATTAATAAATATTGTATATATAAACCATTTCTGGTTCCGTTCCCTTATTGATACAGGGTCTCACTATGTGGCTCAGGCTAACCTCTAACTCATGATCCTTCTGGCAGTCTTCCTGAATACTGACATTACAAGCATGAGTCGCCAAACCCAGTTTGTAGACCAGATTTTACACAACATTCCAGGAATATTTTCTTTATTATAAAAAGTTTCAGAAGTGCATTTTCTTGCAAGTATATAATATAATTGGGGCATAACAAAAATTACTATATGTCAGCGTGAACTGATTTTAAGAAAACACTAGCCTCAAAACTGCGAAGGTTTAGAAGTCTCTTCCTCCTTCCGAAGCACACTGTCGGGTATTTGTAAAAACTGAATCTGTACTGGATTCTGACTGAACCACTCTGTTCACAGAACGGCAGAAACTGATGGCATTATCTTATTTGTACAATTTAGAGAACCACATTTCAGCATTGTGGTCTTTCCCAACATATGTATTATTTATGATCCTTGACTTTCTTATGTGACTGCTAAAATATACTTGAGAGCATAAGAGCCAATACTGAGTATTTCAATATAAACAAGCCCTTGAAACCGTTGGATCTTAACATTGTAGGCAGCAAAAGAGACCTGCCAATTGAACACATTCGCCTGGGTCTTATTAAAACCAGCATTTTAAGTACACAGTGAGCCCAGAGGATGATGCGCATTTACATAGACACTGTCGAATCATGCCCAGCTTTCAATTTGCAATTTGCATGCTCAATTGCCCAATTTGTACATGAAGATATGAGAACAATGGCCGTCTCTATATCTATGGCTGTACCAACTGCAGTCATCTTTGAAAATTTAGGCCTAATTATTCTCTGTGGTTTTGCTTCAAAGATGCACTTATTGTTCATATTCTTTGAAGTAGCTGTTCAGATGTTTTCTGTACCAAACACAGCAGAAAAGGAAATAGAATTGAAATGATCAACTTTTGTATGAATCACACTTTTATTTTTTAAGTTGGCAATGATATACAAGTTACAGATAATTTAACCTCACTTTTTATAACTGAATTATCCAGTATGATTACCTTAATGATGCAACTGAATTCTGAATTGCAATGTGATCAGCCTGGCAATGAGCTTCTTATGAGTAGGTATGTCAGAAAAATAAAGTAGTTATTAGGGAAATTTCATAATTTATTTTTATTAACTATGAGTAATATGTGTCTGTCCTATAAAATGTATCCATATTTACTTCAAATTATCCAAATTGCATAAAAATATGAGTGAACAAGCAGCTAGTCCCTAGCTTCAGTCTAATTGAATTTTGTCATTGAATCTGATTTTTATGTTTGAAAAATAATTGAGTGATAAAGTAGGGTTAGCCAATGGATGCAAATGCACACGCTCGTGTTTACATGATTCCGAGTATCTGAAACAAGAACTAAATATGCTAGAGCCACTGTTGCCTCGCTGTGCCAGAAGGCATTGAACAAGAGCTTCTCAAGGTGGTCTAACTGCCTCTCCATCCTTAACATCTGAGCAGTTGGTGTAGACTCAGCTGCGGTCGGTGGTCTCTCAGACACCACAAACACCTGCAACCTCCCTGCAGTGCCTTCATGTGTCCAAAGGGCCCCCAGGGGCACTTTTTCAATGATTTCCACCTCCTGAAATATTCCATCTCTGCTTACTATCTATATAACCTAAGGTTCCTTACGGTTCCATAAAATCCTGTGTAAAAACCCACTTAACGAATTGTACTTTGTATCCTAAAAGTGTTTCACCCCAAAGTTCTTATTAACCGAAGCCCACTTTGGGGGTCAAATCTTCTCTAAAATAATATCTATAGAAACTAGTTCATTATTGAGGGTTTGGGATTGTTGTTGTTTTCTTTTTCTTTCTTTTCTTTTGGGCAGGCTGATCTCCAACTCACTATGTAGCTGAGGATGACCTTGAACTTATGATCCACTTGCTCCATTTCCCAAGTGATGGGTGTCATCATGTCATTTATGAGGTATTGAGAATTAAAGTCAGGGCTTCCGGCATGCTAAGGAAGCACTCTATAACTGAACCACTTTCCCAGACCCACTAGTTTTACTGTTTCGCTCCCTTTACTCACGGGCATAGAGGGGAGAAGATCTGCATCTTTTACCCAGGGTGCTGTTTCACCACCATCACTCAGTCAGTTCCCGTCCACTGAAGATCTGCACTGCCTACTTATTGTTCTTATCAAAGTCCGGGTTCTTCTTCTACCCAAACATCAGAAATCTACTCCACATTTCTCTTCATCCCATTTCTGTTTAGTAACTCTACTTCAGTGCCCATTTATCTGACACCCAGCACTGAAGATGCTCTAAAACTCTGCCAGCTGTGGACGTCTAAATGCCTCTACCTGCCCCACCATTGTGACCAAACCTTGCAGCGAGACATCATTTTAAATGGCCACACCTTCAAACTTCCAAACATAGAGGTTCTCAGTGATAAATATGATCACTTCTCCTGCTACATCAGCTCTCTCATTCTACCTACTATTGTGATGAAATAATGCTCTAGGGTTTTCTGAAAACCCATGCTGAATAACCCCCAGGATCACACAGGACTTCTTAGCAATAAGTTCAGTCATTTACTGCTAAACCCCAGGCATGATTTCCACAGCTCCTACTCCAAACCTCCACTCTCAAGAATTCATAGCCATCCTGTTTCCTGTCCTTCACCTGAGCAGGTGCTGTCGCATTCAACTCCATGAGGATGCTGATGTCTCGTTACAGTTTTCTGTACTACTGTACTGTATCACCTGTCAAACCGAATCTCTAGCATTTGTGTTTATTTACACCTATGCTATTTTTTTTCCTGTTTTGCCTGCCAGAGCAAATGGGTTCTCCCTTCCCCAGTGAAGGTGACTTTAAGGAACCACCTTCTCAAAGACCACAGCGCCAACCATTGGTACTTCTGTCGTCGGCATCTTCAACTTCTCCCCTACCTGCATTCCCATTCCTCAACCTGTAACTGGCTGACTTGAGTCCACCAAACCCCAAGCTACTTACCTCTTCCTTGACCCCGTCGAACCTTCATGTGTTCTTGCTCTTGTGTTCACTCCAGTAATTTGTGCTCATGTCTCCCATTCTCTCGTTTTTTAAATACTAGAAATATACTGTTGCATTGATATCATGGTGACTCCATAATTAAACCCCGGCCTTTCAATATATTCTCATTTTTCCATATATCGACATTGTAATAATTCAAAGTAGACATATATAACATCTCCTATCTTGCTCAGAACGCTAAAAGTGACAAATGTCTTATGAATGCATAGCGGAGGATCAAAGTGGTTGACTTACCTAAGGCGGCCGAGATAGATAGCTAAATGAGTGAGAATTTTAATTTATAAGGCTGATACAGAGCTTCTCGGCCTCAGCACAACTAACACCAAGGGGTCCTACAGTGTACTGTATCAAGTTCAGCAGCAACCTTGGTGCTGACGTCTTCACCAAAATCAAACAGAAAACCTCTGTTGATGGTAACAAGTGCACAAATCTGCAGACATTGCCAAAGGCCTCCAGAGAAACAAAACTGCCTCATTGAGAATCACTGCTCTCAAGTGAAGTTTCTTTAAGGTACAACACATTGGATGGCGTTAGCATCTCCACGTGTTCTAAAAAGGCTTTCCTTGCTTTTAATCTTCTAAGGAATCCTAAGACTTTGGCTCCAGGCCTGCCCTTCTTTTATTGTCAGGCTTTCCTCACTGGAAAACTGGAAGATTATTTCAGAACAGGGCTAACAGCCTGCATTCAGAATTGTGGTCCTCATGCTTGACATTGAGCAAATCAGTTTCTTTCTCTGATGTGAAATTACTTCATCTGTGAAACCACAATTAGAAACTGACTCGGGAGAGATATAAGTGCTTGGTGTTATAAAATGCCAACTAAGATAAGCTCCTGGCTGGCATAAAATATACGAGTGAATATTAAATTCTGAGGGCTACCACACACCACACACAGACTTTCCTTATGTTTTAGTCTTCACATCTCTCATTTATGTAAATTCTTAGGGATACATTTTCTCGGCCTTACCTATCACGTGAGAATTCAAGCAAAATCCTAAACTTGTACCACAGACTTTTCTTCCTTCTTCCTTCAAGCTCCTTACTCTATAAAACCTGCATGATCTATTGTGTATTTGACTTCCTCTGTCTTTCCTTAGTGTATTTTGGTACAATGTTGTTCTTCACATTTCTCCTGTTTCCATTTTAGTTCAGACTCCTTTCATATGACTTCTAAGGTCTTTTCACAGCCTTCTGCTGCCTCTGCACCTCTGTAACCTTCTATTCCTCTGTGTCCACTGGTCTCCAGAGCAGTAAGCACACATAATGAAAATATTTAACAATGGGACTGGGAAGTGGAAAAGAAACACCTATTTTTATTTTGGTTTATCTTTCTCTTCATTTCCACAGTTAATATTATAATGTTTGTGCTATAAATTGGATATAAATTGCATATAAGTAAATTGAAATATATAGGAAATTCATGTTTAAAGTCTATTCTTTTCTGCTGTATTTCATAATCAAATCTGGATACACCTTACTTGCTTTATATTCTGTTAGTAACAAACAAATGGTTAGATGGAAAAGAAAAACCAACATAAATCATTCTTATAACCTTGAAGTCCTAGTGATCAAGCTCCGTAAGGGAAGAGAATCTCGCTGAAGTGAAATGCATCCGGATACCTGAGACTAGATTGAGAAGCAGCTACCTCCTTCCCGGTCTCCTGTATGGTAGATGCCTTCCACACTTCCCACTGCTGCCCTCTTTTATAATTATGATGTTTGTGGAAGCAAGGATTTTAACTTATTCTTCAAATATTTCCTTATATAAATGCATTAACTGAACTGTTTTTCTCAAATACACATATAAAAATGTTTAATATTGACTTTTACTAAGAATATTTGGTGTAACTTGTTTTCTCTATATTAGATGAGAACTTCCTTAAAAACAAGGAGTAAATCACTAAAAATCCAAAGCAGCATGTTACAAATGTCATTACATTAAAAATCCGTGATCAAAACTTTAGTGACCACAAGCATTTTTTTGTTTTGTTTTGTTCTTTTCTTTTTAATGCAGGGTCTCACACCATCACTCAGGCCGGCCTTGACCTCATGGCAATCCCTCTGCTTCAACTTGAGTTCTGGGAGTACAAGAGTGAGCTACCATGACGGGTCACAGCCAAAACGCTTAACATATTTACAGTAACATCTAAAATGCAGCGCAGAACGGCACTGTAGAAATATAATGACCAGTTAAAAGTGGCTTATAAATGTTTCACCCCAGAATGAAAGAAACCAGACTCAAAAAGCAGATGGCACTGTACAAAGAAATGCCTTTTCTGAATCCAGAAAGTGCAGAAGTGCCGAGTAAGGTATTTGTTGGTGCCAAATGACCCAATGAAAGTTTAATGATAGGTATATAAAAATAAAACACTGTGCAAGTTAAAATTCACCAAGTCACGGATTTTGTACTAAAGAAATCCAGAGAAAAAGCTTCCCTTATGTAATAACGCCTAGCTGCTTGCAATCATAGACGTGATGCAATGCTACATTTTAGAATGTACAGTAATGATAAAGTAAATCTGTAGCTTGAGAATTACCATGCAGATTTTTTCCCCTTGGACATTTTTATTAATGAGAGTAAGAGTGTATGAGTAATTATTATTCAAGCAGAATACAACAGAATTAAGGAAATAAATAATATGAAGTCAAGACTGAAGCCCATAACCTATTGTATCATATAATATTAGTGTTTATTTCAATGTAGAACTGTGTCATTGTATTTTATATCTTTTAAACCTCAAATGAATGGAAAAATTGTGTTTGGAATTCAGAGGAAGGCAGCATGTAAAATTTCTCCTGAAAGTAATTTTTGAGAACCTTCTGAAATGTTTAATTTTTAAAAAATAACCTTCTGTATGGAAGACAAAGCATATGTGAATAATGAAAGCCACACAGTAACCTGAAGACTGTGAACATAAAATGAAGTTACTAAAACAATGGTAGATCCTTGAGTATGAGAGCGAACGCAAAACCTGAAAGCATGATGCGTGTCCTCTTGCTCAGAAAATGGCTTCTTTCTTACCTTAGTAGCATTCCCTTTACTTTGTGATGTTAGGTGTGACAGGTTACTCAATTTGCCCACACTTCCAGATTTCCAGTGATATCCACTTGACCTTCAATAGACATAAAACAAAACCTAATTACTGCAAACATTCCTCCTTTTAATGAAAACAAATATATTCCCCTGTTTTCAGGAAATAGAAATTTGGGTGTTAGTATGATAAACCACCACAAACTGGGAATAAGGTATCAACAGTGTCCTAATTTATCACCAGTCTTCAGTTTTAATACCACTCCTCTGTATTTGTGACTTGTGGAGCTAGGACTGAAAGTAAAGTGTTCAAACACAAGTAAAGAATTCCACTGCTTGGCATTTACAGTGACTGACTTTTACTAATTTATAGAAATGTTTACAGATGATCATGCAGTTCTTAAAACTAGGCATCCACAAATGAAAATGTAGAAAGAGAACAAATCAATACCCCTAATATACAGCGGGTCTGCCCGGTGATGAATTTCCAAAGATTCCAAACGAGCTCCCACATTGGAAGTAACAGATTACAAAGAAGGCAAGCTGAAATTTTAAAGTTTTCAGAGAGGGGTTCATTTCAGTTTTGAGGGTATAAAACTAAAGAATCATATTTCATTGAAAAACCTGCCCAATGTTACACACATAATAAAAATAAACCCCAAACTGGAACTATGGACCTCCCTTTTCCTGGTCAATGGATGGCAAGTCTTTATTTTGTCTGTGACACTTACTATCTATGAAACCTTAGGAGAGAATACTACTACTCTTAAATCTCATTCAAGTTGAAGAATGCTCTAAAAGAATATCCAGTAAATGCTCCACAGCTAAAGAAAACTCTTTCCTGGGTGCTGATTCCAGGAACTCTGATTTTCAAATGAAAATTATCATAATAAAAAAGAAAATTATCATTCATTGAAATGGCCAGATCAGAACTGGTAAGGTAGTTCCATCAGTGGGACTATTAATTTACGAACATGAGGACTTGAGTTTAATGCACAAAATCCAAAAAGAGAGAAAGGAGGGATTCTATGAGCAAGTGCATCAGGATCATGATGGGGAAACCTGCAGAGATGACCAAACCAAACTAGTGGGAACGCATGAAAGTTGGATCAATGGCTGTGGAGCCTGCATGGAACTGGACTAGGCCCTCTGCATGGTGAGACAATTGTGTAACTTCATCTGCTTGGGGGGTCCTTTAGCGGTAGAATCAGAATCCATCCCTGGTGCATGAGCAGGCTTTTTGGAGCCCACTACCTGTGATGGGACACCTAGTGCAGCCTTGAGGCAGGGGGAAGGGCTTGGACTTGTCTCTACTGGATATGCCTCCCCATGGGAGGACTTGCCTTCTTGTGGGCGGCAATGGAGGGTGGGTTGGGAGTGGGAGGAATTGGTATGTAAAATGAATGAAAAAATTTTCTTAATTAAAAAAAAAAAGTCAGGCACTGTAGTCCCAATGCTAGGGAAGTGGAGACATGGAGACAGGTGGATCTCTGGGACTCTCTGGAGGCTTGGTGAGTTCCAGGTCAGTGTCTCAAAAGGAACAAGTGAGCCTCTCTTGAGAAATGATACCCAGGATTGTCCTCTGACTTCCACATGGTTGAACACAAACAGATATGCACACACAAATATGTTTCTAATCACACATATATACACCAACATTCACAAAAAAGTTAAGTAGAATAAAAACATCAGTTAGAGGGAAAGAAATGACTACTGATCATTAATATTAAAACAGCAAGACATACCTAGTCATCTGCATGATAAACATTTGAAATGCCTTGATTAAATCAATGCTCTACTTATTAAGGAAAGTGTATTTAGATTCCATGTAAATATCTTAAATAATTGAACTCTAAAAATGAGTATTGCTGAGACTTTAACAAATGTATTGGAATATTCATCAATGGATGAAATAGTTCATGGATATTCTATTTTGAAGACCAAAAGGAGATAAATTTAATATACAAAGATTATGATGACACTTAAAATAACCAAGTACATATGAAATGTATAGTCTTATGCTTTGTAGGAGATTGTAAACATCTGAAGCCCATTTATAAGGCATTTTACCCATGTTGAGCACAATATAAAATAAGCATGCTTCTGAACTTAAAATGACAGAGAGAGGAATTTATCCAAATATGCTATTGTATAAAGGCAAAAGTACATGTTGAAGTGCACAGGTCCATGGTGGCATTTACTTTCACAAAATACTGAAAAGTTAAGCCACTAAAAAACAGGATAATTCAATGTGTGCCCATGTGACTAGAGCACTGACCAAAATATGATGATGTGAATTACTTTTCATAACTTATGAATTAATCCATTTATAAAGATACCAAACACACCCACATATTGCCACAAAGACTTGTACAAAGATGAGACATTTTCAGGAGAAAAGAATTTTAATCATTAAATGGTGCAAGAACTTGGACTGGTTATGAGCTTAGATTTAAAAAAAAAAGTAAACCCATTTTTTAACCTATAACTATCAGCTCCTCTTGACACAATCAGATTTATTGGTTAGTGCTATAATAAAAAAATAAATTAGCACAGGACAATATATAAGTATAATATTATGGATATTTCACCAGCAAAATAAAAATATCATCTATTATTTGCTGAAGGTGTTTTAAATATAGTTGCAGGTTTAAATAATTTGGCTGTGGTGCGAGGACATATTTGCTCCCTGAAAAATTACACTACTCAGCAGTGCCCCAAACATCAACTTGGTTTGCTGGTGTCTTGATTGCAATTGTTTCATAAGAGAATCAAGCTTTCATTGCTTTCCTGTGCATTCCAGGCCATCAGTCACTGGGGACCTTAACATAACAGGCAACTAGGAAAAGAAAAAAGTTAGTAAACTAGAGGAAACAGAAGCCCTGGTAATTTTAAAAAGAGTGTGCTTCATGTGACACCGAAAACAAAATTAAAGGGAATTTTATATTCCTTATTCCTCAAGAACAGTTCAAAGCCATTGATCCACCAAGTGTTCTTACTAAAATAACAAAAAGTATACAAAACAGTTTTCATGTAATTCCATTAAATTAAGAGCATGTGTAAATCAGTATAATATTAGGGAAAATTGTGTTTATTCTAAAATTCCCTGAAGTCTTCACTCACTTAACTTCTTCCTTTCTCTTGTTCCATGTAGATTGGAATTCTCGAAATTTCTTTTCCATCTTCTGGTTCTCCAGTTCTAGCTGAATTTTCTCCATTTGCAGTTCCTGAGCATTTCTGAAGATACATGATGTGAACAGTCATTTAATAGAGCAAACAAATAAACCTCGAGGCAAACAAATATTACAGAAACTTCTGCTCTTAAATTGTAGTTATTAATAAGTTTTAAACAATGACTTAGTTTACCTGCTTTTTATGTACTTCTTGAAATTATATATATATATATATTTGTTTGTTTGTTTTGAGACAGGGTTTCTCTGTGTAGCTTTGGTGCCTGTCCTGGAACTTGCTCTGTAGACCAGGCTGGCCTTGAACTCACAGAGATCCACCTGGCTCTGCTCCTGAGTGCTGTGATTAAAGGCGTGTGCCACCACCACCCAGCTTGAAGTATATTTTAAAAAGCATTTGCCTGCTATCAATATTCTCTTCAAGTAATGTGTCTCTTCAAATCTAAAAGTGTAAAAACATTATTTGCTTTATAGAGGAGCCGTGTTTCATACATGCACACATATTTGTGACAAATGCAAGAAAATAATTTTTACACTGGCCTTTACTATATCACATAGTTTATAGCACAGTCGTTAAAACCGCCATTATTCATCCAGTCATCCATTTAATGCAGAGATGGAGATCACACCTGGAACCATGTACCTGCTAGGTAAGCAGTTTACCACTGAGTCATATCCTCAGTCTAAAACAAGTATTTTCTTTCTACATGAACTCATTCTGTGGAACCAGCAGCTTGAAACCTTCAATAAATGTCTATCATTATGTCATCCATTAAAAAAAAAAAAAAAACTGTGAGAGTGAACATCAGAATTAATGTGTGTCTCTTCAGAAAAAAAACTCCTATTAATATTTTGTTGTAGGAGATTATCTACAAAAGATGTGCCTCTGTGTGTGTGTGTGTGTGTGTGTGTGTGTGTGTGTGTGTGTGTGTGTATGTGTATGTGTGTGTGTGTGTGTGTGTGTGTGTGTGTGTGTGTGTGTGTGTGTGTATGCATGTGGCTGGCTATCATTCCTTAGGCACCACTCATATCTTTCTTTTTTCCTTATTTATTTATTGCCTTTCTTCCTTTTTCTAAAACGGAATCTCTCACTAAGCTAGAACTCACTAAGTAGGCTCAACTGACCAGCCAGAGAATCCCCCCTCCCCCGAAGGGATCTTCCCATCTCTGCTTTGCCCAGCACTGGTTTTCTAAACATGTAATACCACACCCAGTTTTTATCTCATGGCTTCTCAGTATTGAACTCAGATTTTCGTTTTTGCATTGAGTCATCCCCATATCCCTAAGAAATTTTCTTTATAGTAGCTGAAGCTCCACCCTCCTATTAGACTTAGTTCCTGATTATTCTACAGCTAGAAGCCAACGCATGTGTCTAGATTTCATTATGTATTATGAATTTAAAACATTCCTTCCTTCATTGTGAATATTATTACCTGACCCAAACTAAGGAATAATGGAGATCAGAAAAGAGATTTAATGTACAGAGGTTATAAACCTTCACTAAAAAGCAAATGCACCAAGCTTTTGTCAACAGGTGGAAATGCTCTAAAGACACCAAATAATTAAAGGACCATTGATCTGAACTAGGAAACTCAGAATCTAGAATTTTAAAAGGGTGGCATGTTCCCAGCACATCCTTAGTAGTATTTGAGAAGACTTCCAATGACACTAGGTGATCTCCAAGGGAAACTGTGAGCACATCCCTTTAACACCCATGGAAAGCCACAAAATACTGAGGATGCTCAGAATCGATGCCCATGACACCAGAAGTATTTGGCTTTACCAGGATGGATTTCCAAGTCCATTTAGAACATTCTTGTCAATTCCTAAAATGTTGTCTTCAGCAGTGTCCATGCTCAAAGATCTCTGACCTTAATTGACCCTTTAATTTTTTTTTTTTATATTATTAACCTTGAATAAAGGTTACAAAATGTAACCTTCTCTTATACTGCTTCAGTAATTAATGAATCCAACTTTCATTTATAACTTCACACTTTAATTATTGTTAAAAAATAATTTTAGTCATAATTTTGAAAACTATTAGAAACCTTAAATTCGCAAACTACATTATTAAAATGACATTATCATTAAAGTGATAAAATGACTTTATCACTTTAACAATGTAATAGTTTATAAACTTAAGGTCCATAATATGAAAATAGTTTATAAACTTAAAGTCTGTAATATGAAAACACAGCAATATGAGAAAATAGAAATAAGGATTTTTAAAATTTGACTTTTACCTTTCTCTAGTTTAAAAAGAAGAGAATAGTTTAAATTATAACATGTAGAAACTTTAACAACTACTTTACTTTAAAAATATGTACTTACTTATATTTTAGTTTTACAGAATTTCCAGGTTTTCCCCAGGGAATAACTACAAAATCTTTGGTGTTCATGATTATTTGTCTCTTAATGTTGTCTTAAGACTATCAAAGCTTCAGAAAACTTCTGAAAAATAACAAAAAGAGTAACCCCAGAGTTAAAGCAGTTACAAATTCTAAACCACACACATAATTCAGGAAAACATGTTTGTTATTTTGCTTTGTTTGTGCGGTTCTGGAGATCGATGCTAGGGCTTTAGAAATGCTAAGCACATGCTTACTGAGCCATGAGCCCAACCCTCAGGAAAACTTTCAAAATCAAAATATTTAGGATGAGAAAAGTTCAAAGCTTGAACATCTAACACAAATATTTATGTACGTTAAATATGCAGTATGCATATATATATATGTATATATATATACACTATAAGACACATAAATATAACATTTGACAAAAACTGAAATTTGATATCTGTGTAAATAACAAACTAAGACAAGTATGATGGCAGACATCTGAAATCAACTTGAAAGTCAGCCCGGAGTACATAGACATTCAAAATCAGCCTATGCCGCATAGAAAGTCCCTGCATCTGTAAAACAGAAAATTGGAAAATATTTAATTAAAAGGAAAGAATCGAGTACTTTGAATAAATAAAACATGTATTCTGGTTCTTTATATGGTTAAGAGGTTACAAAAATTGAAAAAGTAATGTATCTCATAATGCATCTCATTTGGTCAAGAACAGAAGCCATATTTGACAATAGTACCTTAAAACAGTATCATTTGGTGATGCCATAGCTGTATTGTTGGAAGACATTGCAGCCTCCCCAGGGCCTAGCAGCTTATCTCAATAGCTCCTCAACATGAAGCTCCCTCACTTCAGCAAAGCTTCCTGCTCTCTACCTGCCCTTTTCTGGAGAATGTCCCTGGGCCTGGAGAACTGACCTTATCTAAAAGATGTCTCTAAAACCAGATGTCTGATTCAACTTTAGCCTGACCTTTGGCACAGATCCCTGCCAAGAAGACTTGTGCTAGGGGCTCTGATAGAGGATCCTACTGCCACATACTAAGCCTTAGGATAGGAGCCTGCCACTTAATGCACACTAGGGTTTGTCCCTACGCTCCCCAATCCTATATGTTCCTTTTTACTCTGGAATAAAATTTAGCTAATTCACTGAAATCTGTCTCTCAGAGGACTGTCTCCATTAGTGTTCATGGGCCACTAAAGCTTTCTCTTGACCCATCTGCCTCTTTCCCCTCTTGGCCTGGTGGCCAACAGGCCCAGAGGAAAAGAGGACCCCCACACTATATTAGTTTTATATGATGTTTTCACAATAACCAACCACTTAAATATGTATTTGTTGAAATGAATACCCACTTTTCACAATGTATAACTATTTATCAGATATTTAGTTCTATTTTAAAATAATAAACATGCTTAATATACTGAAGAATAAAATCCCTTAAGCCACAACTCAAATACCTTTTTTACATATATTATTATATAACACAAAAATTAAGGTGTGTAATAATTACCTAAAGGTATTCTGATATTTTCATATATATAAGAAACTTTAATGACACCCACTAAGCCTGGAAGTTAGAATATTTCAAAAACAATTCTCCAATGAGAAATAAATACAAAGATAGTTTTATTAACTCTGACTTAACCAGAAAAGCAAATTATTCAGAGCACACTGCTTTCTGAGTATCTCAAATGCTCAGGATTTTAAAATAACTTACTTTGTAATGCTGAATTACAAATTTATATGCACCACTACTATATTTCATATCAATAAAAATTGTTAATATTCAGGACTAGCGATGTATCTCATAGAAAAAGTGCTTGCCTATCATGCACAAAACTCTGGATTTGAGCCCAAACATGACATTTAATAGATGTGGTTGTGCACACACTCAGGAGGTGGAAGCAAGAAAATCAAAAGTTTAAAGTCATCAACAACTGTACAGTGAGTTTAAGGCCAGATAGTGCTATCAGGTCTTATCTCAAAAAAAAAAAAAAATAAAATAAAATAAAATCAAATAAAACCCTAAATCTCAAAACCTCTTTTTGAAAATATCAAAGTAGCCATAGTTCTAAGTGTCCAAACTATTTAATGCTATATGTCCAGGACCCCAGTAAATACATACTAAGACTCTGAAATATTCATGGCATTGGACTGAGAGGTAAGAAGAGTCAAGGCCTAAGGATATTTGTTTCTGAGCTCAAATGACTTAAAATAAAAAAGTGTAGCTTGAGTTTTCCTGACTGGCTCACAGTCAGGACAAATCTCTATCACCTGCCAGTCCCACAGCCTCTCAAACCCGACCAAGTAAACACAGAGACTTATATTGGTTACAAACTGTATGGCCGTGGCAGGCTTCTTGCTAACTGTTCTTACAGCTTAAATTAATCCATTTCCATTAATCTATACCTTGCCACATGGCTCGTGGCTTACCGGCATCTTCACATGCTGTTTCTCATCATGGTGGCTGGCAGTGTCTCTCTGACTCAGCCTTCCACTTCCCAGCTTTATTCTCCTCCTTGTCCCGCCTACACTTCCTGCCTAGCCAATGGCCAATCAGTGTTTTATTGATTGACTAATCAGCAACAAAAAAGAGCACATAAACTTGTGTATAAAAGCCATATAATAAAGGAGAAATAATAAGGGCCAAAAATTTATAGAAATGATGCAGGAAAGAATTCAGGCTGAGTAGCATTTAAGTGAAGTGTTGAAGCAGAAGGGCTTGTAGATCATAACATCAGTTGAATAATGATTCTGTACTATAAGGAAAGAAAATAAGCTCTTGAATGGGACTAATGACAAGTCCAGTTTGGATGATGAGCAGAGCATATGGAGAGAATAGAAGCCTGGGTACAGTGGGAGGGTGAAGCTTACGAGGAGACTGGCTTTTGTTTTATCAGTGTCAGAAATCAAAACCAAGGATCTGGTTGTGTGAGTCAACCGGTCTTAACACTCAAAGTCAAGCCCAGCCCAGTCAGTAGTATCTGATGCCTGGTTCAAGCATGGAGAATTTAATCTTCAGGAGGAAGAACTGGTGAAAATATTTCATAGAAACATAGAAGATAAATCTGGAAAGTTTGCTCAGAAAATTAAGGACAGCACCAATGCAGAAATTTCTATCCCCACATGGAAATCCACATAATCAAATCAATTTGTCAGCTTCTTCCCCTGCTGACAAATCTCCATAGTATGACAACTCATTACAATGATTTTGGAATCTCGATAGTATGACCACTCATCACAACGACTTTAGAAAGCTTCTCTTAAAACTGTCTACAGAGTCAGTCACATATCCAAAAAGCCCATATGTCTATTTGAGTCTATCTCACTTTAAATAATGCTGCAGAGTCTGTGAGCTTCTATCAGCCCAGGTTAGTGGTTTCTATGGGTTCCCTTGTGATGACATTGACCACTCCCCCTCAGCTCGCACAATCCTTCCTCCTTCTCTTCAACAGGATTTTCTGAGCTGGGCTCAGTGCTTAGCTGTGGATCTCTGCATCTGTTTCCATCAGTCACTGAATCAAGGCTCTCTGATGACAATTGGAGTAGTTACCAATCTGATTATAGGAGATGGCCAGTTCAGGTTACTTATCCACGTTGCTAGGAGTCTTAGCTGGTTTGCCTTGCCCAGCCTTAATACAAGGGGAGGAGCTAAGTCCTACCTCGACTTGATATGCCATGCTTTGTTGACATCTACAGGAGGCCTGCCCCATTCAGAACAGAAACAGAGGAGGAGTGGCTGGGTGGATAGGGCAGAGAGGAGGAGAGAGGAGGGAGGGGAAATTAAGTCAGGATACAAAATAAATGAATAAATTTAATTAATAAAAATAAATAAATAGTGGAAGAGAGTATTTGTAGACTAGCTGATTAGGGATCAGTGTGCAAGATATACAAGGAAATCCAACCACTCAAAAGCTAATAATTACATCTAATTTAAAAATGAGCAAGATCTGAATAGACATTCTGAAAAGAAGACATACAAACAGCCAACAAATATATAAAGAAAAGTCAATAAATGTGAAGAAAATAATTTGAATGTTTAAGTACAAAGATAAAAATCACAAAAATGCTGTGTGTAATACAATATAGTTGGTGTGCCATAAGGTATGTTTACAATTTCCATGAACAAAAACAATTCTAGCTGTTCCTCATGGGCCCTATCACATGAATTCTAGCTATTCCTCATGGCCTCTATATACTGAAACTGCACTGACCAAAACAAAATGAACATGGTGTCTACCCCTGAGAGACTCTGCCCAGGGAAAACCCACAGAAGAATTACAATATTGTGGGACTGTGGGACATTCTGACCAAAGAAAGCTTCTGGGATAGGCATCTGACTCACACTCAGACACCAAGTATTACCTCTCAAAGCTAAAGTAAGTGTCATAGTATCTAAAGGTATTTCAGGAATGAAAAACAAATACCTGTATTGCTTTTTGGAGGAAAGATGCAGCATTTGCAAATGGAATGCTTGTCTACTCTCCCACCTGTAAGAAACAGCTCTGTAGGAAGTAGCTTTGTCTGTTTTTATCAAGCACAGGCTACAAATCTACCTTTTCAATATCTCCAGGGGAGAACTGGGGAATGACTCAGTCCATAAAGTATTCTCTGAGTCAGCATGAGACCTTCCTTTCTGCTCTCTGGTACCTATGTAAAAGACAGGGGCAGGTGTCTTTAAAGCCAATGCTGTGACTCAGGGGAATACTGGAGTATCAATGGCCAGCTGCCTGAGCTAAAAGTTCAGTGAGAGATGTTACTTCAGAAATATGGTGGGAAATGATAAGAAAAATAACAACTTGAGTGAGTGAATCTACACATTCATAACACACACACACACACACACACACACACACACACACACACACACACACACACACGAGAGAGAGAGAGAGAGAGAGAGAGAGAGAGAGAGAGAGAGAGAGAGAGAGAGAGGAGAGAGGGACAGAGACAGAGAGACAAAGAGAGACAGAGACAGAAATAGAGACGGGTGAGGGGGTGGGGGTAGAATAAAACAAACAGTTGTTTCAGAAATATTCCCAGACAGTAAAATAGAGTCCATCTCCCCTTCTGATATTAATCAGGAAATCAAACTGCTGGCCTCCTCTCTTCATTTGATAATTTCATAAAAGTCTAAACTTTTGTAATTACCACCCCAAAAGAGAACACAAGAGGATCCCCAGAGTTAATGTTTCTGGTTAATCAAAATAACCGCTTGTCTGAATTTCCTTTGCACATTAGGATCTTTGTGTGATAAGGCTTTCTATGCATGTGCATATGAAAGAAGTTTAACGTCCACACAAGGATTGATTCTATCTATACAGAGGATGAAAGAAAAGCCTGTAAATCTCATTAGAATGAGATGATTCAGATTTACAGCTCTGATGATAATGTGATTTAACCAATAAACAGTCTTATTCAGAGGGCACTTCACTTCACTGAATGCAGTTAGTGAGGCTTCTTTTCAATTAAATGTTTATCAAGTCATGCACACAAGCCAATTTATTGTATGCATAAAAATGAAAAATTATAATGGTGAGTCATGCTATTCTCTCTGTTTCTTTGGGTAAAGCCAAAGGAGAATTAGTCATCTTTCTCAAGACAATAAAGCTATAACAGTGTCTGAATCATAAATAGCAAAACAAAGCTTGAGGCACAAAATAAAATTACAGGATACAAATAACTTCTTTTTTTCTAAGATTTTTTTTATTTGTGTATTTATTTTATATGTGTATATATATGTATGTATGTATGCATGCATGTATGTATGTATGTATGTATGTATGTGTGAAGTGCTCACAAAAGCCAGAGGAGGTCATCAGATATTGTAGACCAGAAGTTACAGGTGACTGTAAGCCACCACACATGTACTTTATTTACCTGGTTTGGTTGTTTACATAATTTTCTGTCATCTAGATCAATATTCACTAACATGAATGCATTCAATATGATATCAGATTTACTATTACAGTTTGACATTGTTTCTACACATGTTCTGTTTTTAGGAAAGAAACCCAATCACTCTGTTGCCACCAAATGGAAGAAAGGAATGTACGATGACTTATGAAGCTAGGAAAAAGGGTGTTAGCAGGTGCCCGGAGTTTCCAGAGAACTTAGCACTGTTCCGTTGGTAGAATGAGAACTTTGAGAAACATTTGTCTTCAGCCGAATCATCCAGGCTTTTGGACTTGAGAAATGATATTATAATCCAAAAAGTTAACACTCAAGAAATGTGTTATTAAGATACAACAGAAACTCAAAAACTCATAATGGCTTAAGGAAGCTTACAATTTGGTAGGATGCTCATAGCTATCCTTGGCTGTACATGGCCAGCAGATCATGAATGGACATACCCTGCCATAATTGAGAATATTTGGTGGGTTAGTTGTTTCTTCTAATGACTCAGGTAATCATATATATATAGCCTAAAATTTAAAAGCTAACCATTAAGATTTTTTTCTTTTTTTACTTTAGAACATATTTTTAAAGTTTGTAATCATTAGATTCTTTGGGGGAAGTGTTAAACGTTTTTAGGTCATTAAGTAATACAGTACATGGAAATCCGAGATTCACGAAAGAAATGTTTAATAAAAATTAATTCAAGTCTTTGACAGTCTTATCCACTCAGAATCTCTGATACGACACAGCTGAGTGGTACTAAACAATACACATGTAGCCTAATATTTCATGCTCTACGCAATTCCTTTTTAAACAACTGGGAAGGTTTGTATTTAGTTATCCAAGTAAATTAGCCTTTTAGGACACTTTCAAATTAAAAATGATGAGAAAAATACTGAATTTAAGATACTTAACTCTTAAGTTAGACCTGATTCAAAGTCAAAAAACCCTTTTAAATAACGAGGACCTTGTAGACGTAAGCTCTTCTCTAGCTGCCTTTAAAAAATCTATTAAAATCACAGTGGGAAAGAATCGATAATTATTAATTCAATATCAAATAAAACTTTCGATGACTATGAGCAACAAAGACATTGTTACATCTTTAAATTACCAAGCCCTTTAGTATTTGGTCTCATATAACCCACTGTCGCTCTGGTTTCCCATGGATGGTTTAGGCATTAGATCATTAAGCACGTGAAAATGGTGAAGGGACCAGAACTACTGGTTCTACTACTGGTCCTGTCGGCTGCTCCTAAGATTTCAACTCTAACTACAGTTCTATACACTCAACATCATTAAGTCAAATTAATAAAAATTAATAATCATCCAAATAAACCCAAGGTTTTATTGGTTAATATTATTTCCTCTTTCCCAGTCACCACCCTTCACACATTAGAAGATTATATACTTTAAAATTTTATATCTAGCCGGGCGGTGGTGGCGCACGCCTTTAATCCCAGCACTCGGGAAGCAGAGCCAGGCGGATCTCTATGAGTTCAAGGCCAGCCTGGACTACCAAGTGAGTTCCAGGAAAAGGCGCAAAGCTACACAGAGAAACCCTGTCTCGAAAAACAAAAAAAAAAAAAAAATTTATATCTAAAATACCTTTGGATACCTTTCTGGTGTCCAATTGCTTCTCTTGCTCTCTAGGGCCATCAAGATGGCTTGGCACTTAGAAGCTCTTGTCAACAAGCCTAGAAGTCTAAATCCAAGTCTAGGCATCCACATAGAATGAGGTAACCTTCTCTGCACTCATCCTCTGACCTCCATATGTACCGCACGCGCACACACACACACACACACACACACACACACACACACACACACTGCAATAAAGATTGTTGTAAAGGGTTCTCTATACATAATAAATATGACCCAAGTACTCTGCCTGGCACTTAAGATTGAGATTTTCTATTAACTTTCACCTGCTTCCTAATCTCTTGTTCTGTTTTTCAATTATTCTATTTATTGAACAATTTGAAGACCGACTCTCTATTTCCTCCATCAAAAGAAAAAAAAAATCTTCTCCTTTGGAAACTGTGTATGACGTTTGTTTACTTTTCTCTATTTTTGCATAATTGTTTAAGTAGGTGCTGTTTTCTGAGCAGTCCAGGTATTTGGGAGGCATCCTTTCGTTGATCTTTGTATCTCCATCAATTATCACAGTTTTTGTATATCTGACAGTGTGGATAATAGCATACTAAGTTGTAAAAATTACATTTCTCTACTACTTTTAATTTATTGCACAATCTTATCCAGGAAAAAATAAAGCATTAGTTCTTCTGCCCATAACAAATGTTTGTGTTTTTACACATCTGCTACAAGAGATGGATTAGCAATCAACAAATTTATATCAAATATCTCCATGTGTAGTATGAAATACAGAAGAACAAGGTGAACAGGTAGGTATTACACCAGTCCTCTCTGAATGTTTGTTTTGATGAAGGAAATAAAAACACAAAAAAGCAAACAAAGTAACTTCAGGAAATATTAAGTGCCCTGAAAGAAGGAAAGAGAGGAACTAATTCCAGGAAATTCCTTTGTAGGGCACCTAGCAGTGTTATGGACGTCAGGGCCAGCTTCTGTGTAGCCTCTAAAGAGGATCAGGAAAAGAGGTGAGATTATCATAGGCACAGAATTTATAGTTTTAATCCTATTCAGCTTCTCTTTCACAAAATATTTTAACATAACTTGCTAACGTCTCTGTTAATGTCTACTTTGGCTTCAAAATAAAACAAAAAGCAAAGAGAAAAAGAAAAAGACATCCACTACCTCAGATATTTCTGGAGCCAGGCACTCCTACCCTACCAGCCTTTACTTGAGAGGAGTGGATTTCAAGAGAGAAGCAGCTAAATGAGAACAGACAGCCAGAAAGAAAACTGCAAATGAATTCTGTGAGATGGTTTCCCCAGTAACTGCACGTTTCACAGGGCACAAATGACTTCAAAGGACAAAAGAGACTAGCATTTGAAAAGGGAATTGGGGATGCTGTAACTGATGGAGGCTGGGCTTTCTCTGAGCTTCACGCTTGGCTCTAGTCTGCACTGACATCATTGGCCAAAGTCTTTTATTTAGAAACGTGTAACTCCTGAGCTAGGGCTGTGTCTGGAAGCCCAGGAGTCTGATATGGCAAGGGTCCAGCAAATACCTCCTACTTCGACCGATGCTCTTCTCCCAACCCGGCAGGGTCTCCTTTCTCACCTGCTGCTCCACGGTCTGCACCACCCAGATGCAGCTCATCGCCCGGCTCTACTCCCAAGACCTTTCACTCTTCATTTACTGTATGTCCCCCTTAATACTACAACTCACCCGGCGACTCTTGTTGCAGCAGCTGCTGCCACTGCCGCCTGGAGCTTCCGCTTTGGTCCCCTTGGTTACCGCGTTGCATCGGTACCCATAGCAACCAGAATGCGTAGGCTTGGTACTGCTGCTGGCCACCTCCAGAGGGAGGAAGAGAGTCTATGATGTGTGAGAGAACGGGAAGATCCTAGGGAAGGAAAATGCAATGAAATTCAACTGATATTGTGTGTGTGTGTGTGTTAGTTCTCTTGGCCTCAGCCTGGACTGATCTACTTTACTGATCCACTACAACACTACAACTATGGGTCAACGATTCCTACGTGTACCACTCAGCTCATCCTCATAACAACCCAATTTATGTGTGAAAATTAAGGCACAAAGAATTTAAGTAATTTACAGCAAATTAAAAAGCTAGCAAATTGAAGGCCCACAAATTAGTTTTAGCTGTTTAACTTCGGTAATCCCCTCACCCATGAATAACGTTTCACTGCTTTCAAAAGGCTTCCAAGAATACAGGACAAGGAATCTAGTTCTCTTGGCAAGTCCAGAACTCGCTTGATAAAAAATACTTGATCCATGAGGCTGTGTATTTTAGACCTGTCTATAAAGATATCATGTGCATTTGTATAAAAAAATACACACAGATAGCTCATACATCAAATTTTTTTTAAGTTGCTTTTTGACATTTTCATACATTGTGTACAACCTAATTATCTCCCTCATTTCCCTGCCAATACTCCCTACAAACCCCTTTGCTACCCACATTCAAGTGTTTTTGATTTTTGACCAAGTGAGTAGCCAAGAGTATGTGTGTGTCTATGGGTTTGATAATATTCCCTGGCACTTGGCAGGTTCACCAGTGAGCACAAAACTAAAGACAATGACTGCCCTCCTCCCAGAATCTCAGTATCTAATAAATGAGACAGGAGAGGAAGGGCCAGTGAACTCTTCTCTCTCCATGACTAACTGTTGACAGGGCCAGTTTTGTGCAGCCCCATATCAAGATAATCACAGTTGTTATGCATTCATGACTACAGTGAAGGGCTATGTCAGGTCTAGAAGATGGTTTTACCCAACCTTTTGCATGATCTTCCAGCTCTTACGTTTTTCCTGTGCTTTCTTCCACCACATTCTCTGAGCCTATAGGAGGTGGCACAAATATCTTACTTAGGTCTGAGCACTTACTTGTCACTTACTCTCAGCATGTGGAGCAGCTGTGAGTTGTGGAATCCACTGCTGTTCACTGGAAAGAGATTAAGACTGAGAGTAACACTCATCTACAGGTACAAACAGGTAATTATCAGGTAGTTTGGCACTACATCAGTTTACCTAAACAATGTTAAGTTCCCCCCCTAAAGTTTATGAGATTCCAAGCCATGCATTTTATTGGGTTTACAGTACCAGGCATGGGTTGCCTCCAGAGAAGTTGGCCTCATTTTTAAATCAGAAAGTTGTTGATTATCCCTCTAACACTCACACCACTATTACATAGATGGATATATCTTTATGAGCAGGTTAGTAATGTCGATTACTGAGTTCAGAGTTGAGTAAGACTGTCCTTGACTTATCTTTCCACTAGCCTTCATAGTACTTTGCAAGACTCTGAAAGCTAGCCAAGAGGTAGGAAGATTCCAACTTAGTTTCATTTCTTTATATATCTGTATCATGCAACCAAGATGTGTCATATCTTCTGCAATAGGATTGTGTTGGTTTGAGTGAAAAATGTCCCCCATAGGCTCATAGGGAGTGGCACTATTAGGCGGTATACCCTTGTTGGAGTAGGTGTGGCTTTGTTGAAAGAAGTTTGTAACTGGGGGTGGACTATAAGTTTTCAGATGCTCAAACAAGGTTCAGTCTTTGTCCTCTCTACCTGCTGCCTGCTAATCCAGATGTAGAACTCTCGGATCCTTCTCTGGTACCATATCTGCCTGTATGCCACCATGCTTTCCACCATGGTGATAATGAACTAAACCTCTGAACTATGAGCCAGCCCCAGTTAAATGTTTTCCTTTATAAGAGTTTCAATGGTCACAGTATCTCTTTACAGCAACAGAAACCCAAATTAAGACAAGGATCATATCAACCAAGGGAAATAGCAAGAGGGTATAAGATTGTGAGGGAATTTGGGTCACCCCTGACTGGCAATAACTCATAAGAACACATCTGCCCTTGGGGTTTGTATTTAGTAATTCATGGCTAGAAGCAGCACTATCCAGACATGTATGATCTCTTATAATTATATTTTATTGGATTATAAGATAATAGGTTCCATATTGCTTTTTGTATACCTTTTATTTTTGATTAAGCCCCTTCTAAGCCTCCTTGTCTCTATCAGGCCCTCTCTACTCCTCTTCCTGCTTAAACTTTTCTATTTCCACTTTTCCTGGCTCCCAGAGATACTATAATTTACAATTTTTGTTTTTGTTTTTCAAGACAGGGTTTCTCTATGTAGTTTTGGTGCCTGTCCTGGATCTTGCTCTGTAGACCAGGTTGGCCTCAAACTCACAGAGATCCACCTGCCTCTGCCTCCCGAGTGTTGGCATTAAAGGCGTGCACTACCACCACCCGGCTGAGATACTATAATTTAAAAACACAAAACTAAACATTGAATCTAGGAATCACATATGAGATAGCTAGAGTTTTTGTCTGGGCCTGGGTTAACCGGCTGAATATAATGTTTTTACAATCCCATCCATCATTTTTCTTTACAACTGAGTAAAATCCCACTATGAATATGTACTACAATTTGATTCTTCCATCTATCAATTGATTGAGATCTAGGCTGCTTCTCTTGTCCAGCTAGTGTGACTAGAGCAGCAATAAACACTGATGTGCAAGCATCTCTGCAGTAGGGCTTTGAGTACTTTGAGCATGCCCCAGGAGTCATGGACTCTGTCATATGGTGGCGGTTCTTTCTAGTTTTTGTTGGTTCGTTTTTGACAAACTTCTGGGCTACTTTCAAAAGCGTCTGTACTACTGAAACATTTTTGTTCTGAGCAGAGAGATTGCTGTAGTGATCTTACTTTATTTTTGGCTTCTAAATAGTGTTTTTTTTTCCATTAAATCTCTGTATTTATAGACTACAGGTAGAAAATGTGATTGATTCTGCAGTCAGTTCCCCTATAACCTTGTACGCTTAGCCACACTGCATCCATCATAGTACTAGACACATATTCTTACCCATTAAAGTTACTATGGTAACCTCTGCACCATTACTCTCCTGTACCAGCCAGCCTCCATTTGAGAAAAGAATTCAGTGTTTTCCTTTTGCACATTGGGTAAAAGTACAATCATTCTTGCTAAGAGAAGGTATGAAGCTGGGTTTTGGAGTCAGATATACTTGAATTTTAGGTATGATCTTATAAAATTTATTTGCTATGTCATAATATATGGTAGAGGCTAACTTGTAGGGAAAGGGGGCTGGCTAAAGAAACTCAGATCAGAGCCATCTCTGCCCCTGGCTAACTGATCTGTGAAACCAACCAATCACAGAGCAGGAAAGTAGCACCCTGGCCCTGGAGTCCAAAACCAGGGAAAGAAACACAGCCTGAATTTGGGACCTGAGCCAGAGAAAGGAACACTTTATCTCCAAGCCCAGAACCAAGGAAACATGCTCTGACGCTGAAACCAGTACCAAAGAAACACTCTTGGTCCCTAGAATCAGAGTCAGTGAAAGAAATATGCCCTGGCCTTAGAATTAGTGTCAAAAAGCTAAGAAAGGCCAGTGAATGAAACACAGTTTGGCTCTCAGATCAGGGCCATCTTTGCCCCTGGCCAACTGACCTGTGAAACCAACCAATCACAGAGCAGGAAAGTAGCACCCTGGCTCTGGAGTCCACAACCAGGGAAAGAAACACAGCCTGGGGCTGGGACCTGAGCCAGAGAAAGAAACACTTTATGCCCAAACCCAGAACCAAGGAAACATGCCCTAACTCTGAAACCAGTACCAAAGAAACATTCTTGGTCCCTAGAATCAGAGTCAGTGAAAGAAATATACCCTGGCCTTAGAATTAGTGTCAAAAAGCTAAGAAAGGCCAGTGAAAGAAACAGTTTGGCTCTGAAATCAGGGCCATCTCTGTCTCTAGGCCACAAAAATGACCAATCTCTGGGCAGAAAAAAAAACTAACCTTGGGAGTGGTTGACTCCACTCCCAAGACATCCTACATAAACCACCCTGCCTGGTCAGTTGTGGGCTAAACTGCTCCTAAACCCTGGTAGAGGCAGCTACTCTCCTGGATTCTTCCTTCCCAATTAAATCTTTTTCTCAAAAGAGATTTGGGTGTGAAGATCTTCATTCACTGGTGCAGAGAAGAACCTTGCTGAGATATCCCATAGTGGACAGAGCAAGGGAGAGCTGAAAAAGTTAACAATTTTCTCCGGAGCCAGAGGAGGTTGCTACATTTCTACAGGGGTTTCCTCTTTTGCAGAGTGAAGCAAAAAAAAAAGCAACATCTTAGGCCAGAGAAGAAGCAGAGCTCTGCTAAGAAGCTGCCTTAAGTGGGTGCTGAGCAAAGCTCAGCTGTAGTCACTCTCCAGGAGAGAATCCGGATTGCTATATCCTGCAGGGAGACCATCCCCCCCCACCATAGGAGGTATAGCCTGAGTCTCCTGAGAAGTCAATACCTTCCCCTCCCTGTTGAGCAGCTCCAGGCCTGACTCTCCTGAGCAGTCTAATTCCTTCCCATCCAGGGCTGAGCTGTCTCTGCAGCTCCAGCTGTCAGAGCTGTCCTAAGCAGCTCAAGGTGTTATCTGATTCCCCAACTAGTCAGGATACCTTTCCCCAGATTGCAAAACTCACATTTTGGTGTCGAAACCCAGGACCAAACCCACAGAGTTGCAACAAAGTTACTTATATAACTGGTCTAACTTGTCAAATAATATACCAGTCTATATATCTTGTAGTGTATTAAATATAGCATAAACACGTAGCGTATTAAGTCCCTAGCTCTAAGCTAGACACACAGGAAGTACTTTTAAAAAGTAAAAATGGTGCTGTGGCATTGATAATTGCTATGGCAGATTCAGTGATATGACTTCTCTTAATTCTTCCTTTAAACCAAGTAAAAAGTTGGATTTAAGTGGCTAGATAAAACTTGCAGGGGTTTTTTTTGTGTACAGTGTCCTTTGGTTAACCTCA